ACCACTTAACTGCAGGCCCTGATGAAAAGCAGTGTGAAAACTCGAGACTGACCCCAGGCTCTCGTGTGTTGTGTGTGTGTGTGTTGGGCTGCGGTCACCTTGAAGCAGATTTCAGAGGTCATGGTGAATCCGTGAGTGATGACGGGCTCCTCCTCCGCTGTTCGGCCCTTCCAGCAGTCGAGCTCCACACACCGACAACCAGACAGGAGAGTCTGACGATACATCTCCACTGAGGAGTTCCCTGCGAGCTGACCCGCTGACCACACACACACACACACACACACTTGTTTTTATATGTTTACGAAGACTTGACATAGACATAATAGTTTTTATACTGTACAAACTGTATATTCTCTCCAGCCCATCACACACACACCCTAAACATACTGTACCCATCACATACACACTAACCCCCCCTCACTCACTCACTGACTCAATCTCACTCACACAATCACACTCACTCACACACACACTCACTCACACCTCACTCACACACTCACTCACACACACACTCACACTTACTAACTCACACTCACTCACACACTCACTCACTCACACTTACTCACTCCACACTTACTCACTCACACACTCACTCACTCACACTTACTAACTCACACTCACTCACACTTACTCACTCACACACTCACTGTAAAGAAGGACTCGTTATTAATGTCTTGGTAACGGGGATCAGCCAATCAGCGCCTTTGTTTTTGGAGTCACGGAGAGGACACCCGTTTTGCGCGAACTGATAGGTTTCGTTTTTGAGTTAACGGTGAGAGTGGCCGGGAAGCCCATCGTAGATATTTCTGAGGAGAATAGTTAATAATCAGTCATCTGTGCTGTGATCCGTGCATGTGTGCGTTCAGAGGACATGTGAGTACCCTGGTGAATGTTTTACATATGTGTATTTTGGTGTATTAGGGTATTTATTGAGTGTTGTTGAATCTGAGGTACTCAGTTGAAATGCAGTATTGTTAGCTAAAAGTTCGCTAACAGCACATTAATGCCTAGTATTATTAGTAATACACTACTATTGTGCTTATGAGTATTAATCTGATACTGCATGCATAGTTATTCATGGAGTGTTTATAATGATTATGTTGTCGAGAACTATGTGTTTTGGTTGTTGTTGTTACTGAGAGAAGGCTGTTAATTTAATAATAAGCTAATGTGTGCTGGTATATTATTTGTTTATTTGATTTAAATAGCTAAAGTTACCTGAAGTGAAGATTATACTAAATGACAAGTATTAGCTTTAATAATTGTATCCTGACAGCATTTTGTTATTTGTATGCTGATATTTTTCTTTCTTTATTGTTGTTGTTGTAGAACCACACATACTGTACATTTTAAGAAGACAGACAATCATCTGTTGGCTGTCAATAACCCCTTCAAGAGAGTCAGAGCATCCAGTTGCATTCTTACCGATGCACCACAGTGGTCACTTATCCCAACAAGCTATAATTACAGTCCTAGCTATCAAGGTCTTCGTTTCAAAATTGGTCCTTCGAGCCGGAGATTGTGTGACTGCTGTGAAGGAGGATGTTTCCATATGGTAGAGGTGAGGCGACGCCACTTCCTAATACCCGTCCGAGACGTCAGACACGTCCGCCAACCTGGTTTGCTGATTATGAAGTCTCCCTGCCTGTTGTGGAGGGACCCCCCCAGGCTGCACACTCTCCTCACAGCCCTCCTATCAGATGCAGGAGGAGCCCTATTACAGTAGTGAGAGGATTGACCAGATGTCAAGCACTTCACAGCTACTTGATCAGTGGAACCGGACTGGTGCTCGCTCTAAGTATTCCAGAGAGTCAGTGTTCTCGGGACCCCATTATGAGAGCACCCCAGCTAGACCACTGTCTCACAGAGTAACCCCAGGGGCTTCACCTGAAATATTAGATGAGCTGCAAAGGATAAGAGAGGAGAACCAAAGGCTTCAACTCATCGTAATGGAGATGCAAACACAGCTTAATCTAAGTAAAGGTCCAGATCCATCACAACACACTGCATTCTTCCCCCCGGAGTACAGCCCGCACGGTCAACCCTCAGTGCACACTGCCGCCACTAGCTCACTAAGACCCAAACCACAGGTTACGGCCCATACTACATTAGCACCTGTGCAGGTATCCAGTAAAGTAGAAGTGGACGATGAAGACTGGCCCCTTCCCCCCCCTCCAGTGGCAGATGATGAGGAGAAACCACAGCTATCCACTACCACACTGCCCACAGAGTTAGTGGTAGAGTTGATGACATGCCTTAAGAAGATGGGGAGTACTCAGGAGCAGCTTCCTGAAATGGCAGCATCAGAGAACAGTAAGCTGGTTGCATCTGGTCGGATGGTGAGGTCACACCAGCCGACAGGAGCCGCAAGACCGTCCACATATTTTACCTCATGTGATTCCTCCTGAGCCAGGCGCAGCTGATGGACAGAGACCTGAAAACGTTCACTCCCGTCAAGCAACAGAGTACATCTATCGGGGTCCTCAACCCACCATCCCAGATTTTAGTAGAGGGGACCCACGTGAGTTTGCTAGGCTGAAGACCTCCCTGGAGAATCTCCTCCCCAAGGATGCTACGGAGAGGTTTAAATATCAGATTCTAGTTGACCATCTAAAATTTGAGGAAGCACTCCTCATTGCTGACTCATACACCAACTCTACCCAACCCTACACCGACACTTATGGCCTCCTTAACAGAGCACTATGGGCAACCTCACCAGCTAGCATTAAGGCGGATTGCCGATCTGATGGAGGCGCCTAACATCCGTAGTCAGGACATTGCTGCTTTAAAGGATTTGCCCTCAGAGTGAGAGCCCTGGTTGGCATGCTCGATCAGCTTGGAGAGAAAGGCCATATTGAGCTTCAGTGTGGGTCCCATGTCACTAGGCTTATGTCCAAGCTCCCGCAAGACATGCGGTCTGGATTTCTGAGACACCTACAACCCCTCGGCATCCGTGTCCCTACGCTGTTAGACTTCGCTAGCTGGCTGGAGTTTGAGCTGCAGATTCAGGAGTATGGATATGAATCCCGACCCAGAGAGAACCCGGAAGGTAAAAGGGAGAGACGGAAGGACTCAAAGTATGGCAGGCCAACCACAGTCCTCCATGGAGCGGAACAGTCTTCAAGTGGCCCGACTGTCCCAGTATTCCCATCCACTAGTGCTAATCCACAAGGCAAAGTCACTCTGCCCTGCCCATACTGTACCGATGCCCTGCATTACTTGAACCAGTGCAGTAAATTTAGCCAGCTAACAACTGAGCAGCGGAGAGATTGGATCAAGAGAAACAGGCGGTGCTGGCGTTGTGGTCGCTGTCATCAGGCCGCACAGTGCAAACTAAAGGCCAGGTGCAAGAATTGTAATGGCAGACATCTGGAAGCTCTCCATGACCTTAACATTAGGTCAGCCATAGTGACACCAGCCACAGAGAACACCTCCTGTTTAGTGAGTACCGCCAATGAAGTTCTCTACTTGGATAGGCAGTCTGGCTGTAGTCAGGTGCTCCTGAAGGTAACAAAGGTTGTGCTACATAATGGAGAGCAGGCCCTGGAGACCTACGCGATACTGGATGACGGGTCAGAGCGGACTATGTTACTTTCAGCCGCTGCTAAAGAGCTTAAACTTAAAGGGGAACCAGAGAGCCTCGCTTTAAGGACTGTGCGCCAGGATCTTAGAATTCTACAGGGTATGTCTGTCTCCTTCTCTATTTCTCCTGCCAGTCACCCCCAAAAATCCTACAAGATCCGGAGAGCCTTTACTGCCGATCAGCTGGGGCTGGCAGAGCACTCACAACCGGTGAAGACACTCCAGCGCAAATATAAACACCTGAAAGGACTCCCTTTGCAAACATTGGAATGTGTTCATCCCATGGTCCTGATTGGGTCAGACTACACGCATCTGATCACGCCAGTGGAACCGGTTCGTATGGGTCCGCCTGGAGGACCAGCCGCTGTAAAGACCAAGTTGGGCTGGACTATTCAGGGCCCAACCAAGATCCTCAGACAATATCTCCAGCCACAGCAGTGTCTGCATATCGCCACACAGTCACCCTCTGCAGAGCTCCTTCATCATGTTGAGAAGCTATGGCAAATGGAAGTATTGCCTTATAGGAGTGAGAAGATGGTGATTCGCTCAAAGCTCGATCAAGAGGCAGTTCGCATGCTGGAAACCAGGACAGTGAGGGTGGAAGTCGACGGAGTCAATCGCTACGCCACCCCTTTGCTTCGTGTAAAGAACATGCCCTGTCTCCGCACCTCCAAGGATGCTGTACTGGCGAGTCTGCGGAGCACCGAAAGACGTCTGATGAAAGACCCAATACGAGCATCAGCCTATGCAGCAGAGATCCTGAAATTGGAACAGGCAGGGTATGTGAAGAAGGTAACAGAAGAAGAGCTGAGTTTGTCTACAGAGTCCTGGTTCATACCTCACCACATGGTGAGTCATAATGGAAAAAACAGACTCGTATTCAACTGCTCCTTTGCATACAAGGGCTATAACCTGAATGAGCTTCTGCTACCAGGCCCCACATTGACCTCCAGCCTGTTAGGTGTCCTGCTAAGATTTCGGGAGCATTCTGTCGCTATAAGTAGTGACATAAAAGGCATGTTCCACCAAATCAGGCTGCTGCCAGAAGACAGATCCCTGCTTCGTTTTGTTTGGAGGGACCTGAACAAAGAGGCGCCACCCTGCACTTATGAGTGGCAGGTCCTCCCCTTCGGAACGACATGCAGCCCCTGCTGTGCAACGTTTGCACTACAGAAACATGTGACCGACCATAGCCAGCCAGAGGAGGACGTCAGGGTGGCCGTTGAGCGTTATTTTTATGTGGATAACCACTCACAGAGCCTCTCATCCCCTACAGCAGCAAGACAGCTGGTTGACAAATTGAAGATGTTGTTAGCCTCAGGGGGTTTCGAGCTGCGTCAGTGGACTAGTAACGTTCCAGAAGTTATCAGTCACCTTCCAAAAGGGGCGAGATCCGAGAGCAGTGAGTTATGGTTCACAGAATCAATGGAGGATCCACAGGAGCTCGCACTTGGACTCCGATGGCTTTGTGCCTCAGACACTCTGGCATACAAGTGCAGCCTCACTAACCGTCCCACACCTACTATGAGGAATATCTATAGTACACTGGCACGTCTTTTTGATCCACTTGGCTTTCTCGTTCCCTTCGCCACGCGGGCCAAAATCATTGTCCAGCAATTATGGAACAAAGAGAGAGAGTGGGATGACCCGTCACTGCCAGATGACGCCCTCAAG